AGAGAGAGAGAGAGAGAGAGAGAGAGAGAGAGAGAGAGAGAGCACAGAGCCCTTTCACATTATTCAGACAACCCCTGCCAGGCTGCCAGTACTTCAAAAGGTCCCTGCCAAATATTGGCAAGGGTCCCTTCGGCAGGAACGGGGTGGTCATTGGAAGGGTCGTCAGGGGACTCGTAGTAAGGAGGGAGTAGGCCAGCTACATATGGTGTAGCTTCGATTTCAGGTCCGTGTTTCAGCAGTTATGGGTTACTAACTTACTAACTCGGCATGTGATTTTGAGGGCTTCACTCCACTACTCACCAAATGTGCAAAACTAGAACGAATCTTCTCCTAGGAACTGGATCCATACAGGCCAAACGTTTTTCTTTTCTGCAAGTGCTGATGAGTCGAGCCAGGCCCTTAGGGCCACTGACGCAAGTAAGAAAAGGAAAAACAAAAAAATGAGACAGCTACTGTATGTGCAAAACTAGAATGAATCTTCTCCTAGAAACTGGAACCATACAAGCCATCCGTTTGTCTTTTCTGCAAGTGCTGATGAGTGGAGCGAGGCCCTTAGGGCCACTGCACGTAAGAAAAGGGGGGGGAAAAAAACGAGACAACTACTGGAGTGTTGTGGTAAGTTTGTAACCCATAACTCTTGGGACACAGACCTGAATCCGAATCCGGGATATATTGCTGGCCTACTCATGGTCTTCCAGCAGTCCAATGCACATCCTTCCGAAGGTTGTGGAAACCCTGCTAATTGCTTGCAGGGTACTTTTCAGAAAGGAGAATCAAACCAATGAGAAGTAGGACGAGGCCCCAAAATATTCTCTTTGTGTACTTACCCTTTTTAAAAGGGAGGGACACGACCTACCCTTTCTGTTTTTTTTTTTTTAATTAATTTCTAAATGCGCCCCATCACGTGCGCGCGCACGTGATGCGCCGCAAGTATGATTAGTTTCCTAGAGATGCCAAACTCCTGCCCCAACTCACTAGCCTTAACCCAGACACGTTCCCCTACCTGAAATGTGGACTGTCGGCAACGTTTGTTCTCAGAAGCAATCATGGCTTCCTGAGATTTCTTGATGTGTTCGACAGTCTGCTTCAACAATTTCTCATACTGGACACCAAATTCAATGGTTCCAGGAGTTGCAGCAGTTCGGTTTTCAGGCAGGAGGAAGTCTCGCGCAGATCTAGGCTTCCATCACAGATGTAGTTGATTAGGACTGACGTCGGTGTTGCTATGTACAACATTGTTGTTGTTGTTGTTGTTGTTTTGGAGGCCCGTTGTGCAAGGCCTCTATCYCGGCGGTGGTAGGAGAACCGCCAGAATTGAGGCCTTGTCGGTCGGGCTGCTCCATCTATTGGTGGGGAGCTTCACCTGCTGGAAACCGGGTCCAGCGTCCCTTAGTTACATCGTCTCAGCACAAGCATTGTTGGGACTGTGGCATTATCGTTTCCTAACACAGAGCACTGATTCCCTTCGGGGCTGCCTCAACACCCTTCCTGCTTCTAGAGCTGTACAGACTGGCGATGAGAGGTAGTTTCTCATCCCGGTCATCCTGGTTGGGCTTGATGTAATGCTTCAGCAGATGCTGCACCACACGGTTCATCTGTTCCGCCTGCCCATTTGCTTCAGGATGATTCCCAGAAGTCATCTGAAGTTCGCTGCCCATCTGTTTTGTGGCCTTCTTCCACATCTCACTGGTAAACCGGACATCTCTATCACTAACAATGGTCTTTGGCAGTCCAAAGTCACGCACTCAATTGTCCATGAACAACTTAATGACGTGCTCAGTCGTGGCAGTCTCCAGCATGGCAATTAGTCTAGCATATTTAGTGAACCTATCCACTATGACGAAGATGTGCCTCTTGCCATTCTTGCTGGTCACGAGAGTATCCGTGGAGTCCATGGAGATACTCTGCCCTGGGCTAGCAGGAATGGGTAGAGGCTCGAGTAACCCAAGCAGAGCTTGAGTCCGCAGCTTGTCCCGCTGACAGACCTGACAGGTTTGTACATACTTCTTTACATCGTCTAGCATGTTAGGCCACCATAATCGCTACACTAAGTTAGCACTAGTCTTCTTGTAGCCGAAATGTCCCGTGGCGTCGTGACACTCACCTAAAAATAAACTACGCAAAATCTCCTTAGATGGGACAACTAACCTCATAAACCCTGCCCTTTCAAGAAAGAGTAACCCATCCACCATTATAAACTCATCAGTGGTGGCCTTGTCTTTGGCCTGCAGTTTGTTGATGATGTACATCGTGATGGGATCTTCCTTGTAGGCTTCCCCCAAAGATCGAGTAACATCCTCAGGCAAGCCAAACTCAGAAATCGGTGCACCTAGGTAATCTGCCCTACAAGACAACGCATCTGCAACCTTGTTGTACTCTCCCTTCACATAGTCTAGTTTGAAGTCATACTGATCTATGACTTCAATCCAGCGTTTGAGTGCATCGGAGAGAATTGGTTGGGTCTTGATCCAGTTGAGTGTCTGATGGTCATATCTCAAGTAAAAGAACCTTCTTAACACATAATGCCTCCAGTGGACAAGTGCCTTGTAGAGAGCGTAGAGTTCCCTCTCGTAGGTGGACTTTGCCAACTTCTTTGATGGCACCCTGTTGCTCATATACTCGACCAGTCTCAACTTTTTCCCTTCCTGCTGAGCCATTACTGCACCAATGCCATATTGGCTTGCAACAAATGGCCTCTGTGGGTCTGGTACCATGAGAACTTCATGAAGTGTGAGTGCATGCTTCAAACGCTTGAAAGTTGGCTCGCACTCGTCGGTCCAGTCCCATGGCGTATCAAGTCGAGTTAGATCAGTCAAGGGAGATGTGATCGTGCTATAATTCTTCACGAAATTGCGGTAATAACCACACATTCCCAAGAATAATCTGACCTCAGTCACAGACTGGGGTCATGGCCAGTCACGTATGCTAGCCACCTTTGCATCTTCAGGCCTAATCCCATTCGCGGATACATCATGACCCAAGTACAAGATTCGAGTGCGTCCGAACTCACATTTCTCTGCGTTTATCTTATACTTGTGTTGTCGAAGGAGTGAAAGTACTTTGTTTACATGTTGAGCATGCTCCTCGACAGTCTTACTAAAGATACGACAACAAACTTATCTAAGTAGTCATGGAAGATCCTATTCACTGCGTGTTGGAATGTACCCTGCGCATTGCAAAGGCCAAAGGGCATCACCACAAACTCGTACAGACCGTACCTGGTCTGAAATGCGGTTTTGTGCTGGTCCGCTGGTCTTATGGCAATCTGATGGTAGTCGGATTTTAAGTCTATCTTGGTATAGTACTTACACCCCTGCACCCTATCCAATAGGTTATCTATGCGTGGTAGAGGCTTTGCGTTCTTAACGGTGATGGCATTAAGACCTCTATAATCAATGCACATCCTTAGTGTTCCCCCTTTCTTTGGAACAAATAAGACTGGTGAGCCAAAGGGGGAAGTGCTAGGCCGAATCCAACCCTTTTCTGTGAGCGCTTTTAGTTGCTGACGAAGTTCGTCCAACTCGGTCAGAGCCATCCTATAGATTCTCCCTTTAGGCGTCCTGCTACCTGGGATGATCTCTATGACATGGGCAATCTCCCTGTCTACGACTCCTGAGGGCTCCTCAAACAGATCAGGGTATTTAGCGACGATGGTCTCTATCTCTGGGGGTGTTTTTACGACATGCCCTTTCGCAGAGACATAGACTAAGTACATACCTTCCTCTAGGCCGATGCGCACAAACACCCGTGAGAGTCTATCAACCTACTAGCTTTATACTTAGTTAGTCTAACGGTTCTCTCATTAGGCATTCGTGCTTCAACACTTTTTTGTCCCAGTCATATTGGGGCTTGGCAACCTCGAGGTAGTACATGCCCAACAACATGTCGAAAGGCAACTCGTCGCTCACTAGGAAAGATATCTTATGATTCAATTCTCCTCCTAGTTAGGAAAAAGTGCAGACTACATCTTTATTGTAGTCCTCCACCATCATGCGCTCTTTGTTGGCCAAAGTAGATGTTACCGGTCTACTAAGGCGTTGCACCTGGTCCTTTAGGTGCAGTCTCTCAATGCAGTCGCGACTTATGAAGTTTCGCGTGGAGCCAATGTCTACGAAGGCACCGCACTTGTGGCCACCCACACCAACTTCCACAACGAAATGCTCCCCTCTAGGACCTCTACTTAGTGCCACTCAGGACTCACGAGGGTCCCTTGCCGACCACTCACCTTGTAGGTCCTCTAAGGCTTCAGACACATCCAACGTATAGAGTATAGTTGGGTCCGGATGTGTCTGCGGGGTGACTAAGGAATACATCACCCGCCTCAACGAGAGTAGAAACAGCTACAACTTCTATCGGCCCTAAGTGTTTCCCGAGTTGGAGCTCGTAGAGGCCCCAGACTGAGAAGAAGGATACCCACCCTTAGGCGGGATCTTCTGCGAAACCTTAGCGTTCTTGCTTTTAAACTGTTGATGACCATACTCGGTGTAGTTTATGCAAGCTCCACGCTACCAACGGTCCCGCCACACTTCTTGATCCAAGCCTGCTCTAACCCAAGCAGCTATCGTGTTTGGGTTAGCGACTTGCCCCTGTCTCCTTTGTCGACCGCCCTTGCCGCGACTACCTACCTTAGTCTTGACTACGGCGGCGAGGTTGCTACCCTCAACACTCTCCTCGCCGTCTAACTCTGATCCCTCCACAAGCTCAGAAACATCATCCATCTCCGCTTGATTCCCATCGGAATCAACCATCATCAATCAACTACCCTTCTTCTTCCATTCTTGTGGAGTCTTCTTCTTTCTTCCATCCGTAAGGGGGGTTTGAGCACCACCCAGCGTAGCCTCTAAATCTAAGGCGTTCTTACCGAATGTCTCAAATGTGTGATACTCGAGACGAGCTTCGCTAGCTAAGAGGTTCTTGATATATGTGGGAAGACATCTCAAGAACATGGTCAATAAGACCTGCGAATTATACTCCACTCTTGGTACGGCAATCAATCGCTCTACGGGTGTGGTCAGCTCTCTCACGGACTTGTACTTCCTAGAGTCAAGTTTCAGTAGCCCATCAGTGGCAAACTGCACCTGCTGAGGGTTGTGCCATCGAGCCTCCACTAGATCCATAAAGCTTTCGAGGGTATGGGTCTTGGCCCAGTCATCCATGTTTCTGCCGAACCCTTTGGAAGCTACTAATCCTTTTAGCCAGCGAGCTGATGAACCCTCGAAGTAGGATGCAGCAGTAATCACCTCCTCCTCTACCAGCGTCCTCTGGAACCGTTCTCAACCAAGTGTTGAGTGCCTCGTCCTTCTTATCTCCTGAGAAGGTTGGAGGTGGTTTCAGAGGGGCCGTGGGGTACCAAGGTTGTTGCTGTCCCACTGGTGAGACAAGTGGCGGTTGTGGTGTAGCTCCAGCCGCTGGACCAGAAGATGAAGAAGCAACATTTTGAGATAGAGTTGCTGCTGAGATACCGCTTGCTAATGATCCGGACTGAGCGGCATAGGGGCCTATCATCGCTGAGAATGGCAGCGATGGCAAAACTGCTGGCCTGATTCCTGGCCTGTGCATGGCATTCAGGATCTGGTCCAAGGTGTCCTGGATTGTATCCAGTTTGCTTTCCATGTATGCGTGCATGGACAGGATGCTCACCGTAAAAATCTTTTCAGTATCACTAAGGGTCGAGTCATCTAACCCCTCTAGTGCAGCTTTGTCTGCCTCCCTACCTCTAGTCTGATACTCATGTCTCTAATCTCTTTCTCTCTTTTATTAGCTTGTTTAAGTTCCTTCTCTAGCCTTAAGCAAATCCTTTCTACTTGCTGGAGCTCCATCTGCTCCCAGGTATGTGGAGGCGGCGAGCTTAACTGCGAGCCCACCATCGGACTAGTGCCAGCACCTTAAGTACCGAAGATGGACTGTGAATTGGTCGCGTTGACTGGCATGCCTAAACTCTGACCAGTGGAGTTTGCAGCAGAAGTGGTTGAAGAGGTAGCCATTGCTATTCGCTAGCTGCTGCTGCTGCCAGCACCCGTTCAGTCGTTGCTGTTGCCTCTCTCACAGTCTTTAGATTACGGGCCCTCGCTTTGGCCCTAAGCCTTCTCTCGCCTCCTGGTAGTAGAACCTGGAACACTACGGGTATCCTATTGGTCCCCCGTCGTGTCTGCCTCCTATCGACAGATGTATTTTCACCACCCTCTGATTCACTCATGGGCTAGGTAGACGTTGTCTGCACTAATGTTCTCTCTGGGACCTACCGCAGCATGTGTCTGACCGGTTCTAAAAATACTAAATAAATTAATTGTTCGGCGAGTTACCCAGACTACTGGTCAAGCGGTATCAACAACACCTACACAGACTGTACACAGTCTACGTCTATGGTGATTAGTTTTGCACAGAAGCTTTGAGAAGAACTGACTATGGTAGATTACAGTCCTACTCTAGGTTGTCTATTAGGTGTTAGCAGTCTGTCAACCAACTAATCAAAATAAAAATAGACTACTGTGAGCAGATGTATGCACAATGGATTTGAAAGTGTATTACAATTGAGTTCACAATTGGAATCCCCTTCCCCTGTATCCAACGTACATGTGACCATCATCAAGCGCAGTGTCTAAGGTGTGCAACAACGGCCCACCCCTGTGCCCAAGACGTATGCTTATGACCAGCCTGCCCTTTGTTTACCCTCGCGTGCAACGAGTCTTACTTCTGACTGATCTGGCTGATCAAGAGGCAATTTAAGGACAGCCCCCGAGAGCCCTCGGGATTTTTTTAGCGTCGCAATCAGGATGACGATCACAGCCAGTGGACAGATCAGACACCAACCAGAAATGTTTATACATGGTCTGGGAGCGTCTGCATTAGGATTGGTCAGTCCGCACACACCTTCTATCAGCGCAGCAAAGAGCCTCAATGGACAAAGCAGCATAGCCTGCGTGTACTCCTCCCACGGGTTGGCATGGTGACCGTGACCCGTGCTTCGGCCAGGGCCCTTCAGAGGCACCGCCCTCTCCTGCCAGATGCGCCACCGGGAAGAATGTCGTCTCTCAAGATAGAGCGCGCACGACTCCTTACAAAAGAGAGGACACTCAAGTTGGACTCACTTGCTCACGGTAAGAAGAGATTGAGAGGGTAGATAAGGAATGGGAACAATGTACCTGGAGATAGTTGCCCCCAACCAGAGATTTCTCACCAATTGGGCCGACGTGCATTTCGATGACCGGTCAATACCCTCGGTACCACCCACAACACAATGCAGTGCCAGTGTGCCACCTCAGCCAAAATGCCACGTCAGCATACTCTCATCATCATACATACATCCGTTGTTGCCACCGCTCCCACGCTATCACCACAGCCTTCCAGCGGCCGGCCCCTCTAGGGCCCCGCTCAATCAAACCAGCGCCAAAGTATCCTTACTGCACATGAAGCATCGTTAGCGCACCCAGTAACAATGTCGTCGGTGCCAGGTAAGTGGCGATCACGAACCAGCTCCGATACCAAATTGCAAGGAATATGAGTGTGAACGATATACAGAAAACCAAGTTGCGAAATCACACAGATGTCTGAGTAGTCGTGTACAAGCAGAGAGTACAATAGCACCGAGAATCCATCCAAATAGAGCAATACAATGAAGTAACGAGCCAATGTGCAAGCCCGTAGGCCACACCAACACAGTATCCAAAGTCGCTCCTCTCTGACTGGCGCCCAGCGCCCCAGGCTACTGTACTCTACTATCCTACCTACAACTGTGTTCACACAACAGGCTCACTTCGATTCTGGAAGACCAGTGTACATGATGTCAGCCCCATAGCCGACCTCTCTTCATGCACCAGGTGCACATCTCGTCACCCTCATGAGACCTTGTTACCCCACACTCGCCTCCTTCCTTGAAGACCACCAGACCGCCCTCTTACCCCCTGGCGCCCAGCAGCCCGGTTATGGCTGCCTGCGCCCCGCTGCCCTGCAGTGCCCCACTTCACCACTACGCGGCCCGTCAGCGCCCTTGGCCGCAGCACAGCATCAAGCAGTAGCGCAACAGCACTTCCGCATTGCCTACACAGGCCAGAATGCCTGGCCTGGGGAGAGAAGGTTAACAACAGTCGTATTTTTCATCACCACTTCAGGACACCCTTGAGGATGCAGCCTGCCTAAACAGGTGGTTTTCAGGGTCCTCGGACCTTTCACCACTTCAGGACCATTCATGTCTGAAAATCCTGAATGGTCCTGAAGTAGTGAAAGCTCCGAAGACCCTGAAAACCACCTGTTTAGGCAGGCTGCATCGTCAAGTGGTGAAGGGTGGTTTTCATGGTCTTCGGACCTTTCACCACTTCAGGACCATTCAGGATTTTCAGACTGCCCAAAACTCTCTCTTGACCACTTCAGGACACCCTTCACCACTTCAGGATGCAGCCTGCCGAAACAGGTGTTTTTCAGGGTCTTCGGACCTTTCACCACTTCAGGACCATTCAGGATTTTTAGACTGCCCAAAACTCTCATTTCAAAATTTTCATTCCTGAATTTTCAGCTACCCGATAACCGCTTGTGGGCCTGGGCTGCCTCAATTCTTTTATGGAAGTGGCAGCCTCCTGGATGCTGCATGTGGCCTGGCTGGAAGCTTCCAGTAGCTTCCGGTTGGGCCTCAGTCCCTGCGCCCAGGCCCGAGACAACAGTTGAGACCTGGGCCCCATTTACAGTTGGCCACGGCCTGAGTCTCCCGACTTGGGCTGTTTGCTGCATCTGTGCAGTGCTCCCAGGTAGGTGTGTCGACAGTACTGCTTTTGCGTAGGCCGATGGCCTGCTTCTCAATGTATTGGCCCTGCTTTGTGTGTATGTGCCCAGGCGCAGCTGTCAAGGCCTGGGCCAACTGTACGACGCAGCTTAGTGAGGCTCGCGCGTCCATTCAACCAACTGGCGTGCTGCAGGAGCCTGAATACCCACATATGAAAGTGTCGAATTTTGGCCTTTGAGGAATATTCAGGCCCGCCTTCACTTAGGGCGGGCACTTGCCTTGCTGGGGGCCTTTGGCCAGAACATGTGATGTTTGATAGGGCCCCGTGAGGGCTTGTTCCTCGCACTTTCTTCTGCTTGGTCTGCTCCAACACCAAACACATACACACCTATGAGAAGATAGGCAGTGTGCAGCGCCAATGGATCACCAACGTGAAGAAAGAATATGACAATGCAATCAAGATGAAACGAATATGACAATGCAATCAAGATGAAACGAATATGACAATGCAATCAAGATGAAGCAATGTAAGACTGAGAAAAATGATCCAAGTCAATCAGACTCATGACTCTGCACGCGCAAACATCATACTGGTTGACATGCTAGGAGGGGATAACCGTAGACAAAAGATCCCTCCTTGCTCACACACACATGAGAAAGGGAAACCGTGGATGGTGGAGGCTGGGAACAGACAAACACGGAAGAAGAAGAAGAGGGGAGGACAGCGTGACAACCCAATTTATCTGCCAAAAAAAAAAAAAAAACTCTCTACCCAAAAAATCCGACAAATGTCAGTCCAAATGCCGAGTCTGAGTCCTGGGAACTCTCACCCCTAATAGCTCTCTCTCTCTCTCTCTCTCTCTCTCTCTCTCTCTCTCTCTCTCTCTCTCTCTCTCTCTCTCTCTCTCTCTCTCT